GGTAGAAATAAGTCTAAATTTATCACATAATAGTAATGATGATCAGAATGAATTTTTAAAACTTGAACTATATTTACTAATTTAAATGAAACAAACACATGAACTCTTTGGTTGAACAAAGAATTCACAACTTTCATTTTACCCAATGTAGAAGAGGAAAAAAACGTCCCAGAGCTCTTCCCTTTGCTTTAAGAAGGAAGCTTCTTCAAACAAACAGGGCAAAATAGGTGAGGATGGGCATATGGGTATGATCAAAGTACTTTATACCATGTATGAAAATAGAATAGTAAAACCCACAGAGTAATAGAAGGGGTGAATTTAATCAAAGTACATTATATTCATGTGTGGAAATATCACAATGAAACAGCTTTATACAATTAACATATGATAATTAAAAATAAAAACAAACAGAAAAAAATTTAGTTTTAGTAATATGACTTCATCCCAATGATCCATGAAACTGTTTTATATGGCCATTTAATTTGAGACTTTGAGTTGTCCACAAATTGACCTTTGTCTCTTTATCCTTCGTATGGAGTGTTTACATGAAATTTGGGTCTTTATGGGATACTGGTGATATTGTGTTCATTTACTTCTAAAAATGAACACTCAAGTAAATTTATGTTTCTCTGTTCACTCAAGTAACTTCTGGGATCAGCATATTCACATGGAGGAATTTAGGGGCAGAAGAATGGTAGGGTAGAAAACTCAAGGACTTGTTCTACTTAGATTAATAAAATGTATAAATCAATAAAAAGAGAAAAAATTCAAAAGGTTTATATAATTGAGAACATGGTAATTGTCTAAATGGAAATATTTATTATTAGATCTTGTACTACTGAGAGGCAGCTGGAAGAAGAGGCAAGGCATTAAAATTGATTCCCCCAAACTACTTTGGTGCTACTCATGGCGATTTACTGTGTCAAACCACATGGTCTCTCCACTGAAAAATATGAGTAAAAGTTTCATTTTTATTTAATAAGCATTCATTCCTTTTTCTACTTTTATTAAAGGCTCTGTCCATTTACACCACTACATGTTCTGGGTAATATAAAAATATATGCTTAGCCCTAACAAATTGCATCTCATAACTCCTTTCAAATGAGTCTTTTAAAATGGAAATATTAATCTAACCATACACAGTTTAGTTTTTATAATGAAATAGTCCCACAGGATGTGTTTCAGGAAATTGTTGGATTTTTTTATACCTCAAATCCATTATATAATAATATTATGGAGGCACTGACTTTCCATAAATATTGAAATAAAATATCTAATATTTGGGGAGGGTAAATCAGTTACATAAATTCAACAAATAAAGCACAAAAGTTTTGGAGAAATGAAATCTCTTTTCACCTTATGAATAATAGACCCAAACTAACTGACTATGTTGAAGTACAGCAAGTGTAATGAAGTGTTTGAAGGCCTGCTGTGCACACCTGAAATCCAGCTGAGAGAGGAGGGTTGTGACTTCCAGGCCAACCTGGCTGCATAGCAAAACCTTGTCTTTAAAAAACAAAGTCAAAAAGGAGTTTAGTTCTATTTATCTTGTGTGTGGTAAACATTAAATTTTAATTTGAACACATTCCCATAAATTTTTAAAGAGATAAATGGCAAATATCAATGTTAAATAGTCAGATGATTATTATACATTTCTGGTTTGCAGAATTGAATTTCAAGTTAAAATTTTCTCTCAGCTAATAAAAAAGAGAAGATAGAGCATTTAAAAAAGAACATGAGGTTGAGACATTCTAGAGTTTTAAACTGAAAGGAACAGCACTTCTTTTTCTCGTGATACAAATTGCCCTCATGGTGAGGCCATATCTGATAAGAATGTGTCTCTCCCCCTAGCAGAGCAGCTATGCTGTGTTTCCCACCTACTAACTAGGTCAGTCCTCCTAAGGGCACTCAACTGACCACAAGTTTACTACATTCGCAAAACTGAAGACTGCTTTTCCCCAGAACTGAAAGTATCACCTCTCTTTAGAAGCTTAGGACCCTTCCACTGAGTCACGATGTAAAAACACTGCTAAACTTGACTTTCAAACTGGAGAGTCATCTATTCTCTCTTCTTTAATTTCTGGAGAGTAAATGGAGAGATATGCTTAATTCCTGATGTTACTTTGACCTCTGATTGCTCAATTAAAATAACAAGCATTTGAAATTTTTACTCTGGAAAAACTGCTGCAGTTATTATAGTTTAGTTTTATTTCAAGAAGACAAGAATTTGAAAATCTTAAATAACATTGAGGAATAAAGTAGTCACTGAACTAGAATTAGATCACTAACCCAGTTTATGGTTCACATAGGATTGGATGAAAGTGTGGATGGTGAAATATCACTGTCTGCCTTACAGCTTTACAGGGTTATTTTTTAGACTATGGAGTGTGTCTAGGGAAATGGAGCTGAAAGTGCTTTGATGTCTAAATTCTACTGATAACTGTTAAAAAGAAAGTAACAGTAGAACAACCTATAGAAATAGTAGTGGAAGAGAGAGGATGTTTCAAGTAAAATACACAATTGACCTGATCTCGTCAAGCAAAATAAAATTGCAGCCATTTTTTAAGGAAAAAAATGGATGTTTTTATTCTTCACTTTTCTTTTCATTTAAGTCCAAGTCTGAAGAATCCAAGGGTTTTTAGTCTGGCTGAATCTTGCAGTAATTCTCCTTCAAACAAAGAAAGTAATTCTCCTTCAGTAAGGATTTAAGAAAACCAGTACCAATTGTTTTCACAGGAATGTGAGAAGGTGAAAGAAAGGGATGAGGATATAAAGCGATAAAGTCAAAGAAGGAAAGAAAAAGAGAATGATAGAGCATCAGTAATATAAAAAAATATAACATCTGTGAAGGTAGAGGATGAAAGGACATGGATTGAAAGCTGTGGAAAAGGGGGGAGGATAAGGAGTAAGGGAGAGTCAAGTATATGCACAGTGGGGATACATTAAGAAACCTTTTTGTACATCAACTTAAATATTAATAATGAAAGATAGGACTGTAAAATAGATGCAGTGCATGGGGGAGGGTACTAGTGGGAGGAGGAGAGTGAATGAAGAAGATTAAGGTGAGGATATATGGTTGATGGGTTTCCATATACCTATATGAACTAGAATAAAGAAACCTCTTGCAATTGCTTTCAACGGGACAGGGAGGAGCTGAGGGGAAGAGATGATGAGGGTGGTATATTGTAAGCCTAATCAGAATTGTCACTATGACTCCCCCCTGTATAACAAATATATCCTAATAAAAATTATAAAATTAAAAAAAATGAAAAGAAAAATATTTGCAGTAAGAACCAAAGACAAAAATAAATTGGTGATTTATTAAGCTAATCAATTTGGAAAGCAAAACAATGGAAGATCAACTACTAAGAACTTTCTTTTAAAGAACAACAAATAGAAATCGCAGAATAAGAGTAGAGAAAAATATAGAAAGGAGATGAGAAATCCTTTAGCTCTTAAAGAGATAGAGATATTAATCTCTAATGATTGTCCATGCCTTCATAAGAACATGGAAAATTGAATTAACTTAATTTAATGAAAATTAATTAAAATTAGATCTTAAATTTTATTTTAGACAGCCTTTCTGTATAGACTAGGTTAGACTTGAACTTATTCTGTGCCCCAGGATGGCTTCGAACTCACCATCTTTCTGTCTTAGCCTTCCAAATGCTGGGATAACAGTCATGTACCATCATGCCAGCATTTGTATCTTCTTAATGAACTTAATTTCTTAAATTACAATGGCTTTCTGATCTTTGTGAAGAAACAAAATTCCATAATATAACTCCATGCAACCCCTCCCTTAACTTTCAAACCATAGTATGAAATGAAAGGAATCAGAATGTCAAACCCCTTGAATGACAGAAAATTGAAATTGTGCATCTTAGCTCTACATACAATTTGGAAGTTAACCAAATTGTAGTAGAATTAATATTTGCTGTTGCATTTAAGTACATACACATTTTCCTAATTACAAAGTTTTAAAAAGTGAGCATATTTAGGATAGAAAGGAGTTAGGGAAATCATACGAATAACTAGATTTACTCATCATTAGGAATTTATTGACTACCTAAGATGGGTTTTTGTTAGTACAGTGATGAGTAACTTAGTTGATGCTCAGAAAGTCCTTTCAGTGTAATAGGAGTGAAGAGAACAAATGAAAGAGTAGTAAGTCCGTGAGAAATTGGAAATCAAACAGACATGTTGATAACTACATTTTTTTGCAATATTCAGATCCACAAATACAGACAAAAACTGCCCATTTTGAGAACTCCAACTAGGACAACCATGGAAAAAAAATTTTAAATGAGTTCAAGGGTCCCTTCCTTCCATCTCTGTGGATTTAAATTTAGAGATAATTGTTACAAAAGCAATGTCTACCTTCTTTTAGTTTATTCTGCATTGCAAATTGTCCCTGTTATTTAATCCTTATAATCTTTTAAGGGATTGCTTTTTAATTGCTCTTCATAAATATTATATATAATATATGTAAATATTTGTAAATACGTATAATATATATAAAATTAAGGTGTATGACATGATGTTAATACATACAGTTAAATGATATCCAGACTGGAGTTATGGATATTTAAAGTCCACTGGGTCAAAATGCTCTCATGTACTCCATCTCCAGGATCACTGTAATCACTGCTGCTGCTAAAGCCATGAATTCTGCTTTTACTTGCGCTGGCTTTGGAAGACTTGGTGAACTCTAGATGACCCTGAAGCTATTTCTGACTCTGGGTGGAGAAGTGGTTCCTCAGTAACTCAGCAAAAACCCTGTGCTTGGTGCAATGTAAACTTGTGATTGGTTCATAAGCAAGGCCTGTGATTGGCAAAATATAAGGCTTATGATTGGTAGAACTGGAAGCTAAGGCTGTGATTGGTGGAATTACAATCCTACCAAAGCTATATAAGCAGGCTATGCGTTCCAGTCTTCTCTTCGGTTTGCTGCGTTGAAGGTGTTGTGATGTTGGGTCTTGTAAAAGGGTCTTCCAAGATGGTTTTTGCCTCCTTGTAGTCTTCATCATCGTTGAAACAGGTTTAACCAGTAATGCTAAGAGAAGATAAAACCCTACTTTGAAGCTTCAAGCATCAGACAGGAACTAGAAGGTGGTTGGAGAGTGACTTCCAAGGCTGTACAACCCCAGGACTCCAGGATATAAACGGGTGGATCCACACAGCAACTATGAAGCAACTGAAGAATTTAAGACGTGGGAACAAAGACTGTGAAGGACTGTGAAAGTACTCAAAGGAGAAAGGCATTGGAGGTAAGACCAGAGAAGACTGGAGTGTAGAAAGGGGTGAGGAAGCAAGGCTGGGTGGAAAGCTTTCCAGAGAGCTAACAAGGGTTAAGGGCCTAGGGTCCCGACACCCTAAGCTCCTGGGCTGTGATGCTAGTTATTGTGTGCAGGGCTGCGGACTCTGCAGGCCCAAAGCTCACTTTGACCTGAAGTGAGTCTCTAGTTTCAAAGGCTTGGAACCTTAAGCTTCTAGTTCTCAGGGTCTAGAGTTTTAAGCCCATAAGATATGAAGACTTGGCCCCAGGGTCTCCAAGGCCGCTGAAGTCCCAAATGTCTTTAGTAGCTTTTCTTTTTGATTGATCAAGCATTCAGTCTATGATGATACATTGATTTATTGCTTTTAATTATGTTTTGTCCATTTTATCACTTTTGTTCTAGAAATGTTTTACTTTTTTCGTTTTAACTTCATTTTTTATGACATTGAGAGGTCATGAAGAGTCCAAGCCTGTTTTGCAGAATGGTCCAATTGTTTCCTTTATGATTAGATTCTGGTTAAATGGTAGAAACCCTGCATAACTGATTTGTCAGCAGATGAGAACATGGTGCACGTCCACACGTGTAAATTTGTTTCATTGTTAGTGTAATTGTTCTTATTTGGTTTAGGTGGTATTACCAGATTTTCCCATTGTACAGGTTCTTTCATAGTTTTTTAAGTATGAAATTTGTGGAGTGACACTTTGAGACAGTGTGACAATTGAGTAGCTCACTAACTTTTCACCCAGTGGTAGAATATACTTGAATCTTGTTGTAAAGTGGCAATTTCCATTTGTCTTTTTGCTTCTCTCTCTCTCTCTCTCTCTCTCTCTCTCTCTCTCTCTCTCTCTCTCTCTCTCTCTGTCTCCTCTGACCCTGTGTCACATCACCCCGTGTGTGTGTGTATCTCCTTCCTGGTTGCCATGAGGTGAGCAGCTTTCATCTGCCATACCCTTCTGTTGTGACGTCCTGCATCACCAATGGCCTAAAACATAAAGCCAGTTAACCATGGACCGAAACCTCTGAAATCTTGAGCTGAAATTGACCTTTCTTCCTTTATGTTGACTTTCTCATCTATTTTTGTCACAGAGATGAAAAGCTAATATAATTGTTAATATCTATGATAGTTTACTCTTTTAACTTTACTTTGTTCTTTCTCCCTTCTTTCACTCCTTTCATCTTCCCATTTCCCTCCCTTTCTTTCATGTTGTTAGCACAATCATTTCCATAAAATTGTGGAGCCAAGGTCTTATTCTCTTACTGGCTGCCAGATAGAAGGTACTGACACTTCTAAGAGGCTTCCTGGAGTATTTTTCTGCCAAGATACATTTTCCATGAGCCCTCTCACTACAGGCTGGCTTAATTCACCACCCCAAGAAGGAAGAAAAGCCTGTTTCTATTAGACAAGACAAGTGCTACTTGAGGATTAGGATAACTATGCAATTTCTCATGTATATTAAAATGCATTTGTGCACTTAACTGGCAGGGGAGATACCATGATCACGAATGTGATCCAGGTCGAGGCTTATCCATTGCACTCTGGATGTGCTGACCCTTGCGATTTCCTCAAATGTGGGAAACTTGACTGCATAATTTGTGGTAGTGGGGGACTGTGTTTGTGCTCTCCCCTTAAAAAAAAATAAAATGCATTTGTGAGTAAAAGGAATTAATAAATTCTTTGTAGCTTTTTTTCTTGTTGTGAATTGTGAAATTTGCAAAAGTTCATATGTCAGAGTTGAATTGATCACCCCCCATCATTCTTCTTTATCCCCCCTCGACTCTGGAATAGTTTCAACAGAACTCATTTTCCTATTTTTATACATGAGTACGTAACATTTCCACCATATTCACCTCCTATATCCTTTATATCCTCCCTCCTTTCCAGTGCTTCCAACCCACAGACAGAACCTGTTTTACCTTTATGTCCTCGTTTTTTGAAAAAAAAAGGCAATTTTGTTTGTTTAAGATATCTATACAGGGAGTTTCATAGTAACATTTCCATGTATATATGTATTAAAACCTAAATTGGTTCATCCCCTCTTTTTTTTCTCCTTTCTACCTTAACACTCACCTTGAGTTAATACTTGTACATGGTGAAAGACATGGATCTAGTTTCAGTTTTCTGCATGCAGATAGGACAAATTCCCAGCAACATTTATTGAAGGGCCGTCTTTTCTCCATCAAATGGTTTGGGTGATGTCAAAAAATCAGGTGAGTATTGCTGGTGGATATGAATCTGAGTCTTCATTTCTGTTCAGATGGTCTTCCTGTATGTTTTTCTGCCAGTACCATGCAGTTTTTATTGCTGTGACTATGAAGTAGAGTTCTAAGTTGGGTATTGTGACCTCTAGCATTGGCTATCTGTGGTCTTTCATGATTCCAAATGAACTTCAGGTTGATTTTTCAATCTCTGTGGTGAATGTCATTGGAATTTTGAGGGCAATTGCTTTTTGAACATGTAGATTGCTTTTGGTAATATAGTTATTTTCACAATCTTGATTCTGCCAGTCCATGAGCATGGGAGATCATTCCATCTTCTGGAATCTTTGATTTCTTTTTCTTCAGTGATTTATAGTTTTCATTGTAGAGGTCGAGATCTTTCACTCCCTTTGGTAAGTGTATTCCTATGTACTATATTATTTTGGAGGCTATTGTAAATGGAACTGTTTTCCTATATTCTTTCTCAGTCTGCTTATTGTTGGTATATACAAAGGTTACTGAGTTTTGTGAATTTATTTTGTATCCTTCTACTTTACTGAAGGTGTTTATTTTCTTTTAGTGGAGTTTTCTGTGTCTCTTAGGTATAAGATCATGTCATCTGCAAACAGGAATAGTTTGACTTCTTTGCTTTGTATTTGAATTATTCTTATTACTTCTTCCTGTCTTATTGCTCTAGCTAGTAATTCTAAGACTGTTGAATAAGAGTAGAGAGTAGAACCTTTGCCTTGTTCCTGACTTTAGAAGAAAGTGTTTTAATTTTTCGCTATTTAGTGTGATGTGGCTATAGGTTTGTCATATATAGCCTATATAAATTACACCGGGATATATATATATAGGCTTAACTTCCTTCTATTCTTAGTTTTATCATGAAAGAATGTTGAATTCCTGAAGGGTTTTTCTGCATCTATTGAGATGATCATGTGGTTTTTGCCTTTGCTTCTATTAATATTCTGTATTACATTTAATGATTTGCATATGTTGAACCATCCCCTCATCCCTGGGATAAAACTGACTTGGTCACGGTACATGAACTTTTTGATATGTTGTTGAATTCAGTTCACAGTATTTTATAGAGGATTTTTGCATCTAATCTCATTAAGAGATTTGCCCATAATTCTTTTTTTGTTGTGGCTTTGTCCAGTCTGGGGATAAGTGTAACACTGGCTTCATAGAATGGTGTTCTCAATGTATTCCTTCCCTTGCTATTTCATGGAAAAGATTGAGGAGTGCTGAGTTTATTTCTTTAAAGATCTGGTTAATTCAGATATTTCTTTTTTGGGAGAGTCTTATTGCTACTTCAATTTCATTCCTTGTTATAGATATATTTAGATGATTTATATCCTCTTGGTTCAGTTTTGTCTGGTTATATATGTCTAGAAATTCAACAGAATGGAAAAAGGAAGTAACACATTTTTAATTAAATATGTTTATATATACATCTGTATCTACATAGATATAGATGATATAATTGTGCAGTTTTTTCCTTTTTATGGAAAGGAGTAGGTTTTCTCTGAGTTTAATGAGTACACTGTGTATTTCACTCTGATTTCTTATCTGGATGCTATCTCTTTTTAGAGTTGACATCTTGAGCTGTGTGGCAATCAGTGGTTCATGCTCTACTGGACAGGTTTTAGGGGATTACACTCAGGGTTCTTAATTCTAGGCTCTTCTTGAGGTTTGGGTAGTTGTGGTCAGCTTGTTTGTTTAGCCAGGTGATCTGAAGTGGTCCTGTAAGGAACTGATGTGTTACTTGTGGCGGTCCCTTCAGCATGCATTCTAAGCCTGGGAGCTAGGATTAAGCCATTTGGCTTAATACTTTACTCTAGGAAGGCTTTTAGTTTCAGCTCACTATCAGGATTTCCAAGGTTGTAGAATGTGGTTTGTCACACAGGATATGACTGGGCCTCCCCTACCACAAACAGGGAATGGCAGTGGAGAACTTGGTAGTGAAAACCTTACAAATCATTTTACCTGAGTTTTGGATACTGAATAACTGACTGACAAGTTATGTTTATGCTGTACATTGGCAGGAAAAAGCCAGGGAATCCTAGACTTGATTGACAAGTGTCTGCATGCTTTCCTCTTCTTTGGCTTCCTCTTTAATCTGTGCATTTTTATAAAGAGTTTTAAAAATAAGTGCAGAAAGTTAGTTGAATTCATTCTTTGTACAATAGTGTATAAAGTTGAACAATGCATATGTGTTGGAATTTGTGGGGATACTGAGGTTTGAAATATGAGCCTGGCACTTACTAAGCAGGTACTCTGTCATTTGAGCTGTGACTGTAGCCTTCTGCATTTTTGCTATTCATTTATCCATTCACTCATTTATTTTTTATTTCATTATTTTTGTAATAGGGTCTCTTACTCTTTGCCTGCGCAGGCATGGACTGCAATCCTCCTTATATACACTTGTACTTCCTGTGTAGCTGTGAAGAAAGGTTTCTGCCAGCATGTCCAACTTTTATTGGTTGAGATGAGGTCTAGCAACTTTTTCCCCGGCTAGCCCTGAATTGTGATCCATGTGATGTCTTCCTTCTGGCTAGCTAAGATAAGATGAGTGACCCCGAGCCCTGACTTGTTTGTGTTTTGAGGTAGAGTTTTGCTCTGTTGCTCAGGCTGGCCTGGAACTTGACGCTCATGTCTCAGCCTTCCAAGCACTGGGGTTACAGTTGTGCTCCATCACACCTGGTGTCAAGTGTACTTTTTTATTATGAGTTCTTTGGAGATTAATATCAGACATAGTTAAACCTGATTAATGTGCAGTTTAATTATAACAAATATTTCTTGAGTGCTTTGCAGCAGGCATTATTAAAGTTTCTGATAATAAAGAAGTGGTCATTGGGGCCCTAGAGAGTATTATGGTAGTGATTCTTTTGTGTACAAGGCAGCAATTTTCTGAATTCATGTTTTTCTGATGTTCTATGCAAAAATATTTTTTATTTTATGTAAAAGACTAGGAAAGAAGCACTGCTGACTCGGTAGTTTTATTTACACTGAATTCAATTATAATAAATATTTATTGTTTTCATTAATAAAGCAGGGAGCTGCTTTAAGGTACATTGGGAAACTAGGCCTCTTAGAGATGTTAGCATACAGCTTTTCATTGGAAAGATAAAGGCAGAATTTTAAAATTTCATGGTAAGTTAGGAAAATTAATCCTTTAATTGGGGAAAATTATGGGAGACATTATTATGGGGGGCAGGAGGGTGGGATTCAGCAGGTTCCTACCCAGGACTTGAATGACACAATTCAGTCTCCCTCCTCCTGATCAGTGAAGTGCTGGGTTGCTGAAGTTCAGAGCCTTGGCCTCAGTATGGACAGCCACTTTCCTCCAGTGCCCTGGCTGTCACAGCTCCCTTCTAGGAGCTGAACTATGTGCATAAGGGAGGATGGCTGGTGGAGGGAGTGGGGGCAGCAGAGCCTGGTGGGGGAAAGGGGCTGCATCAGGCTCAGGTGGTTGCCATCCAGGACTCTGTGTCCCAGAAGATAAGCAAATGGTGAGGTTGTGGCTGCCTGGCACTCATCAAGGTGAGGAGATGGGTCCCACCTGGCCCGTTCCAGGAGAGTGGTACTTTTTACCAGTGCATCTGCTTCTGCCTCAGCAGCCTTGGCTTGGTGTCTGTGAGGTTTGGCTTCCTAGGCTGTCTGGTATAGTGGTACCCCTCCCATTGTCCTTTGCCTCCCACACTTGAACCTGCATTGGAGGTAAGTAAGGGTTCAGGAAGGGCTGGGGCAGCCAGTGGCTGGGGACATGATATTTGAGTAGGCCCTGTGGTGACTTAAGGCATCTAGTTGGGCCTGTGCTGGAAGTAAAGACCAGGCACCAGCTAGATCAGCCATAAACTGCTCTAGCAGCCTGGGAGTGAGGCCAACCCACACGTGCTTCACCAAGGGGTGCTTCACCACAGGCAGTGAAGCCTTGGATCCTCCCTTTCTCCTGGCTCAGTGTGCTCACGTTCTGTTGGGTGCTTTGTGCGACACTGTGAAAGACATCTCCGCAGAAAACAGTGTCTTTGGTTAAGAGGAGATTAATGGAGTGATTGCCTTCAGGAGAGCATCACTTGTCCCTGATTCCCCCACTGGACTTAGTAAAGTTGACATTGCAAGGGTAAAGGAAAAAATTCTTGTAAAGCAATGGCCAGTATTGCAATGTGTTAAGAGTACAAGTTTCAGCTGATTTACTTTAGCTAGACAAAAGTTATCAACATAGACAAATTAACCAGAATATTTTTCTTGTGTAACTGTTGAGTGATATGTGGATTGTGTGCACATATTATCTCATTTAATCATCAAAAACCCTAGTACACAAGTTCTATTATTATTCCCACTTTACAGATGATATAATGAAAGTCCCCACCTATAAAGTAAGGATAACTAGTCCAAAGTCAGAGCTGTGACTCAGCCAGGCCATCTGACTCCTTTAAAGTCCCTTAATCTTTTGTATGTGCTACTGTCCCTCTAGCATCTCAAGAGTGTGTAAGACTATTTTCATTGCGTAAAGTGTGCAGGATGCCCACGATGGAACAGTAAGTAAGGCATCCTCCTTGACGGCAGGAACCTGGCAATTGGATGGAAAAAGTTTCTTCAGGCCACACTTTTGAGTAAGTTTTAAAGGTAGAAAGTTTCCTGGAGAATCCTCTGATGCCTTCCTCAGTGATTTTGAAACATTTGCAAGATTTTACTTTGAAAATTATGGTCTTTTCCTAGATTTCTTATTTCTTGCTTTGAAACTTTGAAGGAAATGTAATATTGAACTAATGGTACAATGGTTTCTGTGTGTGCATTCATGTTTAATCTACTTAGTTTGAAATTGTAACACTGCTAGTAAAGCCAGAACACCCTGTGCAACTAGTTAAAATGTCCTTGTTTTTCAGTTTCTGAAGATCATACATGAAGAAGGACCTTCTGAAGAGAAACGGAAGAAAAACCAGAACACTACAGAATGTGCAAAACATTTCAGTAGGTGTTTTTGGCTACAGTTTTTAAAAATCTAATTTCTAGTTTAAGTTCCACTAGGAAGAAAAGCTTCATTTGTGAAACAATCTGTGTGGCCAGGGAATGCCAGCAGAGTAGTGGATTGAGTAATGTGACCTGCACATCATTTTACCTGAGTTTTGGACTCTTGCTATCTGACTGCCATGTCATGCTTAGGCTGTACATGAGCAGGAGAAAACCTGGAAATCCTAGACTTGATTAACAAATGTCTGCATGCTTTCCTCTTCTTTGGCTTGCTCTTTAATCTGCCCATGTTTGTAAAGGGTTTTAAAAATAAGTGAAAAAATCTGTTGACATTTGTTCTTTGCACAATATTGTGTAAAGTTGGAAGAGGCGGGTACTGGCATTTGAAATCAGGGCCTGGCACTTGCTAGGCAGGCACTCTGTCATTTGAGCTGTGGCTCTAGCCTGCTTTGTTTTTGCTTTTTATTTATTTATTTACCCATGCATTCATTCATTCATATTTGCTTTCATTATATTTGTGATAGGCATCTCAACTTTCTGCCTGGGCAGTCATGGACTGAGATCCTCCTTATACAATTGTGCTTCCTGTTTAGATGTGAATACAGGTTCCTGCCAGCATGTCAACCTTTCCTTAGTTGAGATGAAGTCTAGCAAAAATTTTTCCCCAGCTAGCCCTAAATTGTGATCCATGAGATGTCTGCCTTCTGGGTTGCTGAGAGGTGTGACCCTTAGCCTTGACTTCTTAGTTTTTTGAAGTAGAGTTTTTGCCCTGTTGCTCAAGCTGGCCAAGAATTTTGATCTAATGTCGTGACCTCTCAAGTGCTCCATCACACCTGGATTTAATTATATTTTTGATTATGAATTCTGTGAAAATTAGTATCAGGCATGGCTAAACCTGTTTAAGAAGCAGTTAATTTATTTAATAAATGTTTCTTGAGTGCCATACAAGAGGCATTATTTCAAGATTCTGTTAATACAGAAGTGGTCATTGTGGCCCTGGAGAGGACTACATTAGTAACCATTTCTCCAGAAGGCAGTACTTTTGTGAACTCATGTGTTTTCCTGACTTTACTTGCAAGGATGTTTTTGTTTTATTTAAGCCTTGGGTAAGAATCACTAATGGCACAGGTATTTTAGGTACAATGAATTATAATATGTCTTTCTTATTTCCAGTAATAAGTTAGGAATTTGCTTTAATGTACAGTGAGAAACTAGGGTTCTTCCAGACTTCAGCATACTGTTTTCCATAGTGGAGACAGGGACAAGATTTTAAAATTTCATTGGAGGTCAGCATTAATTCTTTAATTTTCAAAAATTTGGGAGACATATATGTGAGTGAAGGAGTACAGGGCTGGGCAGGTTCCCTGTCAGGGCTTGAGTGAGGTAAATTAGGTGCCAGGTCCTCAGCAAGGACTCCCCTTCTGCTCGACTCCCCTGTCTGTCAAGGGCCCTTCCAGGAGTGTATGAACCAGATGTGGCTAAGGGGAGGCAGATGGAGTGGTAACCTGCAGGGCTGGGGACCATGTTGGACTCAGGGTTGTGGCCTCAGGAGATATGTGATCCCTGAGAAAAGCAGAGAGGTCTCAGCTGCCTGGCACTGACTGAATGAGTGGATAGATCCATCCTGGCCCAGTCCAGTTTGGCAATACCTTTTCTTTATGCTTCTGGGCATTAGCATCTTTTTGTTGATTTGAGAGTCTGATAAGATTCTCTTTCTCCTCCACCTGCTGTAGTGATGACTTCTCCTTGTGTCATCACTTGTATCACAAGGAACTGCGGACCAGTGTCAGACATCAGTAAGGGATATTGGAAGGGTGGTGGGAGCTACTGGTTGGGGACCATGCTGCATTGGGCCTTCCTGGGATGTTAAGACAGCATGGTGGGCCAAAGCCAGCCTGCCAGTGCTTGTGTGAAGGATCAGGAATCCAGAGGTAGGTCGTGAGGCTCTTTAGCACACTGGAAGTATACCTCCCGAGAGGGTGCTTCACTCAGGGACACTTCACCTCAAGTGGGGAAGCCTTAGAGCCTCCCATGCTCCTAGTTCATTAGCTATATGTGCTTTGGTCCTCATGGGTATTGCACAACACTCAGTGGAAACAGTGTCTTTTGCTCAGTGAAGGTGAAGCCAAGTCATTGCCTTCAGGAGAATTATAATTGTCCTGACTCCACTCACCTTCAGCCACAAATGGACTTACTGTTGACAGTAGAAAGGCCAAGATTTCCTGCAAAGCTGTCATGAGATTTACAATGCCTAAGAGTAAACATTTCAGCTGAGGTAGTTTAATTAGACAAAAGTATAAATACATATAAATTAACCAGGATAGTTTTCTTGTGTAATTATTGAGTGGTGTGTGGATTGTGTGCATAGGGTATCTCACTGAATCATCAAAAACCCTATTAAGTAAACTATATTATTATTCCCATTTTACAGATGAGAGAATGAACACACACAGTTCAAATGGAAGGGTAACTTGTCCAAAGTCAGAGTTGTGACTCAGCAGAACCCTGACCCTTAACCTGGTAGATGCTATACCATTGCTCTAGCATTTCACGTGCTTGTAAGGGGATTTTCATTTGGTAAAGTGTGCAGGGAGTCTGGAAGAGGAGAGAAAGTAAAGCACCCTCTTTTATCATAAAGGACCCAGCAATTTGGTAGGAAAAAGTTTGTCTGGATTATATTGTAGAGTTACTTGTAAAGAAAAGAGTTTTCTTCCAGAATCCTCTAACTCCCACCTCATGCTCTGTCCATAGGACAGTGAATTTGCAACATTTGGAAGATCTCACTTTGAAAATCATTGCCCACTGCTCCATGTAGCATGGATTATTTAGAAACTTGAAGAAGAAATGTACTATTGGACTACAGGTCTAATAGTTTCTGGGTGGGTTTTCATGTTCAAATTACTTCATTTGAAATGGTAACACCGCTAATGGAGGCAGAATACATTGTCTAATTGGGGAAAATATTGCTGCTTTTCAGTTTCTTAAGATGAAACAGGAAGATGGACCTTCTGGTGAGAAAAGCCAAAACCAGATCATTTCAGTCTCTGACAAGAAACACTTCCATGGGGAATTTAGCTATGATTTTTAAAAACTAATATCTAGTTTAAGTTCCAACAGAAAAAAAGGTGATTTCTGCTTCACTTGTAATACAATCTGTGTGGTTAGAAATAGTAGTGAGTGGAGGATTGGGTGGTGTAATGTGACCTACACAAAATCGGACCTGGGTTTTGGCTTTTGAAATCTGACTGCTAAGTCATGCTTAGGCTATAAAGCCTGGAAATCCTAAAGTTGATTAACAAGCGTCAGCATGATTTTCTCTTCTTTGACTTGCTCTTTAATCTGCCCATGTTTATAAGGGTTTTAAAAATGAATGAAGACAGTCAGCTGACTTTTGTTCTTTGCACAATATTGCTTATAGATGAACTATATGTGTTTTGCGTGAAGGTATTGATACTGGCCTTTAAAACCAGGGCCTGGCACTTTCTAGGTAGGTACTCTAGCTGTTGAGCTGCTTCCCCAGGCCTTTTTGTTCTTTGATATGCATTTATGTATTTATTAATTTATTTTTTCTTTCCTTATTTTCTTCATAGTATGTCTCACTTTTTGCCTGGGCAGGCATGGACAGAGATCCTGCTTATATACACTTTCTGTTTCCTGTGGAGCTCTGGTGACAGGTGCCTGCCACCGTGTCCAACTTTTCTTGGTTGAGGTGAGGCCTAGAAAAATCTTTGACCCAGCTGCCTTTGAAGTGTGATCCTCTCTATCTCTTCCTTCTGATTATCTAAGATTAAAAGTGTGAGCCCTGGACCAGACTTGTTGGCTTGAGCTCAGGCTGGCTTGGAACTTGGGATCCTTGTGCCTCAGACTCCCTAGTGCTGGAACTATCAGTGTACTCCATCACACCAGGCTTTAAGTGCCTTTAAATGTTTTTTTACTTTCTTATTAAGAAATATTAGTTGTAAAGGGGGGATTAATTGGGACAATTCCCTATTGTCTTATGTTGTACATTAGTTAGCTCACCATCACCATCCCTCCTCCTGCACCCCTCCTGTACCCCTCCCTCCCCAGTTAAAGAAATTACAAGAGGTTTCTTGGTTCTAATTCATAGAATTAAGTGAAGTCTAACATCCACCTTGTATCCTCACCTTAATCTCTGTCATTCACCCTCCTTCCTCAGAACCCTCCCCATACATACACTGTGACTATTTATAGTCCTGTCTTCATTATTAATATTTAAGTAGATGTTCCAAAGGGTTTCTCAATGTGTCACAACTGTGGGTCTACTCTATTTTGCTCCCTTCAACCCCTTTCATTGTTTTCCATTACCCTTTTCCTTTCCCCATCCCATTTGCAATAGCTTTCAATACATATCTATATCCTCTACCTTCACAGATACTATGTTTTACTACATGTTGAGGCCCTATCATTCTCTTTTCCCTTCCTTCCTTCCTAGAGTTTCATAAAGTAGTTCCTTCAGTATACTTTTTATTTTGAGTTGTGAGGACATAAGTAGAAGACATAGTAAAACCTATTTAAGAAGCAGTTACTCATTTAAAATGTTTCTTGAGTTCCATACAGCAGGCATTATTTCAAGCTTCCATTAATACAGAAATACCAATTCTGGCCCTGGAGAGGATTACAGGTGTAACCCTTTCTCTAGAAGACAGTACATTTGTGAATGTGAATTCATACATTTTCTGATTTTACATTCAAGGTTATTTTTGCTATTTTTAAAACACTAGATAAGAAACACTACTCACTTGATTATTTTATGTACAATGAATTTTATTATACTGGGTCTTTCTTATTTACAGTAATAATACAGGGATCTGCATTAACATGCAGTGGGAAATGGGGGTTCTTCCATAATTTAGCATATTGTTTTTCATAGTGAAGATAGTGACAGGATTTTAAATTTTCATGGGAGATTAGGACCATTAATTCTTTAATACTTGAAATTTTGGGAGACATGATTATGGGGGGGCACTAGAAGGTTCCTTGTCAAGGCTTGAGCGATGTAAGTCTGAGTCCCTGGTCATGACCTGTGAAGTGCTGATTTAGGGCAATGCTGATCTGTGGTCTGTCCTCAGACTACCCTCTCATCCGCTTCACTGGCTGTCAAGGCCGTTCCAGGTGCTGAACCAGGAGCAGCCCAGTGGATGTCGAGTGGAGGGAATGGGCACATGCAGAGCTGGGTGCGTTGGCTGCAGCAACCAGGGACTTGCGATGCCTGAGACAAGCAAAGAGGTCTCAGCTGCCTGGCACATACTTAAATGAGGACATGGGTCCCTCCTTACCCAGTCCAGGTGGGCAGTACCTCTTCTCTGTGCTTCTAGACATTAGCAGCTTTTTGTTGACATGGAAGTCTGATAGGATTCCCTTCCTTAGCTGCCTGCTGTGGACCGGTGACTCCTTATCCTTTGCATCATGGAAACCTGAGGACCAGCATCAGAGGATAGTAAAGGGGCTTGGAAGGTCAGGGGCAAACAGTGGTTGGAGACCCAATGCTGGAGTGGCTTCTCTTGGAAAGGTGAGGAGCTGGGTGGCCCAGAAGTGGCCTGCCACTGCTTATGGGAAGAGCCAGGAACCCAATATGTAGAACAAGACCCTTTAAAGCAGTCTGGCAGTATGGCTTCCCAGCACTGGCTGCATTCAAGGTCACTTCACCTAAGGGGGGATGCCTTGGAAACTTCCAGTCTCCTAGCTCACGAGAATGAGTCTATGGGTTCCCAAGGCCCCCAAATGCAACATTCAGGAGAAACAGTGTCCTTTCTTCACAAGGGGTGAAGCCAAATCAGCCTTCAAGAGTTTCATTGTCCTGCCCGACCAGCCAGGATTTAATGTTGACAGTAGAAAGGGTAAGGGCAAGTTTGCAGCAAAGCAATTATGGGTTTGGTCATGACAATTGGAAAAAAATTCAGCTGTGTTTAAAAAGGCAAGAATAAATACATATATATTAACCAGGATAGTTGCCTTGTTTAAGTATTGAAAGGTATGTGTATTGTGGGCATAGGGTAACTGAAAGGTACAGTGGAAAACTAGGGATTTGGTGGACTTTAGCATGTACTTGTTGGTAGAAAAGTTGGGGTCGGGGAGGCTTGGAAAAAATTAATTCTTTAATTTTTAATATTTCAGGAGACCTATCAGTAGGGGAAGAGGGCACGCCTGTGCAGGTTCCTTGGCTACTGGGTTTGAGTGAGGTCAACGAGGTGCCATAGCCCTGATGGGTGGATGTGGCACTACAGAGGCAGTTATGGGAATTGAAGTCCCATGCCCCTGTACTGGGCATCCCCTGGCTGTCCGTGGACTTGCTGGCAGTTGAAGCAGCAGTTGGGGCTGGGGCAGAGGAATGGATGACAGGAGGAGGGAGAGGGGGGCTCCTGCAGAGCTGGGGGGGGCGGAGTTGGGCTCCAGGTCCCTGCAGACCACCCAAGCCTGGAGGTCTCCTGGAGAACTGGGGAGAGGTGTGGGGCACCTGTCAATCTCCCAGATCTGGTCTGGGTCTCCCCAGGCCAGCCAAGTTCAGGTGGGAGAGACCTTTCCCCAGTGCATCTGGGCTTGTGCAGCCAGGACTGTGGGGTCTGACAGGAAATTCTCTTTGCAGGCTGCTGGCTGCCATAGGGAATAGTCCCTGTGGCCTTTGCAGCCCTGAGCTGAGTGGCCTCGCGCGCGGAGCTGTGGACCGAAGGACCTGCGTGGCGGGTAAGTAACGGGGACCCAGATGGGCTGCGGCTATGCAGGACGTTTGGGCAGCTGTGCAGCTCGGCGGGCCGGCATCGCCAGCGCAGCGCGACCCATGCTGGCGGGAGGGAAGGACCAGGCAACCCTGCTGGGGCTGTAGCAAACCTTGCCATAGTGGCAGGCCTGTGAGGGCGGCAGCGGCGCGAGGGCAGCAGCGGCCTCGTGGGCGTCGGCGGTGGCGGCGGCGGCGGCGGCGGCGGCGGCGGCATTGGCGGAGGCGTGGCTGCAGCCGCGGCAGCAGAGGTGGCAGTGGCGGCTGCGCCTCTGGCGGCCCCGCAGGCCCTTCACCCCGGATTGCTTCAGGCCAGGCGCTTGGTTCAAACTCCTAGGACTGGCAAGCCTGTGAGCCTCCAGGTCAGTTCCCTCTCCTAGATTGCTTGCTTGGGTTGCCTTGTCTTCTAATGGGTCCCCAGGGTTCCTGGGCTGTTTTTGTTCCTGGACTGTTTTTTCATGTGGCAGGATGCTTTGCTCTTCTTTGGCTTGTTCTATGAGTCTGTGCATGGTTCCAAGGCGCTTTGAATCCTGAGTGAATGGAGAAAATGTGTTGAGTCTGGTTTTTTGCACAATTCTGCATATGGATGTGTGAAGTGTGTTGGGTTTTGGGAGGGACTGAAAAAGGGGTTTGAAATCAGGGCCAGGCGTTTTCTAGGTGAGCCCTGTATTCCTCCAGGGAGACCCCTTAGACCTTTTGAGGCTTTTGTTATTTCCCCCCCACACCCGGCCACCTTTCTTAATTTCTTGACCTTTTTAGACCTTCATCGTTCACGTATGTATGTATGTATGTAGGTAGGTAGGTATGTATGTATGTATGTGTTTGCTATCGTGTGCATGCATGTATGTATCCCTTTATTCACTTCTCTGATTAAGGTTTCTGTGGTCTTTTTGGGTGGGGTGGGGCTCTCTTCCTTTGGGCCTGGTCAGCCCTGGACAGTGACCCTCCTTCTGAACATTGTGTGCTGCTGGAGTAGCTGTGGTGACAGTCGCCTGCTGTTGCCATGTGCAACTTTTGTTCCTTGAGCTGCATTGTAGCAAAGTTTTAGCCTCAGCTTCCCTTGAACTATGCTCCTGCCTTTTGTCCCTCTCTGGGTAGCTGAAAACCTAGGCCCGAGACCCTGGGCAGGACTTGTTTGTTTTTGGAAGGAGAGTTTTGCCCTGTAGCCCAGGCTGACCTGGGAAGTAGGGTCCTCCTGCCTCAGTCCCCAAAGTGTGGGATGCCAAGGGTGCTCTGCCCCCCTGCTGGTTGAGGTGTGCTTTCTGGTTTAGTAGTTTGGTCAGCTAGTTTTGCCCCCTCCCCCACGGGGAGAGACTCTGCCTGGAGGGGGGTATTCATTGTACATTCCAAAGAGACCTGTAGGGGTCCACTGGTTGCATTGTCCCCACCCCCTCCCTTGGGAGCCCCTCCCAGACTCACTTCAGGCAATGGTAGGAGGGTTCTCTTTTTGTCTTTCTTCCAGGTATGTGCAGTCCATCTGTCCTAGAACCTTATTCTAATCACCCTCACTCACCCTCCTCCTTCCCGTAAGTACCCGACGAGCACACATAGGCTGTACCAAGTAGACAGACCCTTGTTTCTTAGGAAGTTTGACGGGAATGTAGCAAGGGATTCCTCACTGTTTCCCTGCAGGGCAGGGAGTCAACTTGACCTACTTCTGCGCAACTGCTCCTGTTGCTCTGCCTTACCCTCTGACCTCCTGCCCCTGGAACTTTCAGGAGCTTTGATACAAGTGCTGCTCCTAGGTTCTCCCTGCCCATCTGTTTCCTTCAAGGGTATCCTTGGCGCCACTCCTCCCCTTTTCCTTTCTCTCCCTCCCCGACTGGCAAATAGTGTACTTTCCTTTTAGTTCCTGAATTGTGCATTGTAATTCCTTCCTCTCTGGTTGTTCTTGCAAGAGCTGGTCAGCCCTGTTGAAGAGGCAAGCAGTGAGAACATTAAAGACATCGCCCC